CACTATGTATTATTTAGCTTATATTGTCCTTAATGTCAATGTTTATTGCCATTTATGAGTTTTGTCTGATTACTAGACTCCTAATGCATCATTTAAATGCTTAGAATAATAAAATATTTATTTACAAAGAATATGAACTCATTTTCTGAGAGCTGGTACAGGCCTGATAATAAACATTGTGACTTCCAGTAGTGTATAAGTCAACTGACTGAAGCATGAGCAATTGAGGTGAACAATTCTTGTTCAGTAATCATATGGAATGTATATGATGCGGTGTAATACTACAAAACTGAAATTAACCTTATATTATGAATGATACTGTCAAATTGAGTAAAAAGCGACGGGCGGGGTAAATCAGGACAGCTGTCACACATTTTGTAGAAATGTAGCAGCTAAACTGATCAAAATATTACAAAACTGAAAATAGTGGCGTAAATTCAATATTTTTACTATCTATGTAAGCCTGAAGCAAGTTAGGAAATCATACATTTACTACCTTTAAAAAAATCCCCGAAAAAAGTATGAAAAGTGATATTTTTCAAAAGTACTTCTGCTAAGGTCTGTAGCAAAAAAATATTTGCCGTTTTGAAAAATTTTAATTACATAAAAGTTGCACACAGGTGTTGGCTGAAGAACATGATTGATGGAATTTGCGTATTTCATTAAAAGAAAAAAAATTGTGGCCATTTCCACACAATGGGTAATAAGAGACACCCTCCAGGGATAATAAGGGACACTCCTAAAAACACATTTACAGTAGAACCTCAGCTAGCAAAGGCTCCAGTTAACCAAAAAATCAATTAACAAAAAAAAATGTTACATTTACCTCAATCAGTGAAAAAATTTCATTTAACAAAAAAATTAATGCATCATTGGTCATCACAAAATTGTGCATAGAATGTCATAGATAGAATTGTGCACTGGGCAAGATAGAATGAAAAGTAATTAACCTAAACTACAACTTATTTCTCCAAAAAATATCATGGTTGTCATTAAAATATTTCTTTCTGTTTCAGGTATGTTTTTATGATCTTTTTTGTTATTGTGAATTCACTTGACCCAATTAATATGGTGTGAAATTACAAGCCATCCTGTAAGCTTACAGATACAGAAGAAATGCTAGATGGCTGCTGATTTGAAGCTTGCAGTGAACAAGGTCGTTGTAAACGCAACATGGCATGTCCATGGATATGATAATATCACATCAATAATACAATAATGTATGGATATGGTAATATCATATCAATAATGGAAAAACAAGTAAAAATACAGAAAATGTTATTTATTCTACATTTAAATCATCTATTAAGGAAGAGGAGGACTTCAGAGTACTGTTAGTAATGGATGAGTACACTTTGTGTTTAAATGTTTTAAAATTAAGCTTTATTTCAAGTGTCACAGATTACCCCGTTCCCAGGGGTAATTCAGGACACTTTTGTTTTGCATCTGGCACCTTTTGAATAGCATATAGAATTTTTTTGGATAGCCCTCACAAAGAGCTTTAAAATGAGCCCAAATTTGTCTATGAAATGTTTAAAGGTAAGAAGTTATTAACAAAAACTTCCTTATAAATATGTCCTGTAGCAATCATTTGTAATTTTCATTTTTTTAGCTGCCCGAGGACTCGATATTGATTATCATCCTGTAATTTACTCTATCATAATCAATTGTAATACCTACAATACAATCTGTATCATTCATTCACTGTCAGTCATATTGACTTGAATTGTTTTCATGTAGAAGAATAATTGATATCCACCCTTCGCCACAATCATGCCTTGTTGTCATTAGGGTGATTAATGGGTAACCTTGTCCTATGTTACCTTACTTTGAAGTCTGGCAAGGCCAATTGCTATTACATTGTAATGATAAAGCAAATTAAGTAGTGATTTTTACCAAGATTTTGCAGAAAACTGATGAGAAAACACTTAAAATTAAGTTTTAACTTTGTTAATTTATTTATTTTATGCTGTCTCCAAAGTCTACTTACCTGCTGTCTACTTTTTTCAGACAGATGACTGTCAGTGTAGTTGATATCCACTTGAGTGATGCATGTGTTGAATCCTGCTTCATTTGCTAAGCAATTTGCTAATAATCTCCAATGGTCCATGATTATATACAATTTCTATTATATTACACATTGACCATTATCATGGTACTGGTATCCATTTTCCACATCAATTCCATAGCATTATTGTATATATCAATTGTTTGCCATTTGCCATATTGATCACAGATTGCCTTCTATGGAGAAGTGTAATTGATGACTCTGCTGTCCACCTTGTTTGTACGTATGCCTCTTCAAGCAAACAGATTTGAGGGCTTGCCTTGCTGATTCCTTGGAACCTCCAGTTCATGATCCTAGGAAAAGTGTGAACCACATATATTGCTGTAAATGCCTGTACATAAAATTGAACTATAATTTTGATTTTTATTTCGAATAATTTTAATTCTATTTCAAGAAATCTTCAGATGTATGTGAAAAAATTTAAATACCTGTTTGCCTTTATTCCTTTCATTTTGATTTCTATTTTGTATCAGTACAGGAAGAGAGTATGTTCAGTACATACTGCACCTTCCTCCATTTTTTATGAATGATAAATTATATTCTAATTTCATACTTACTTGCTGAAATAAATTATTTTGTACATATTTATTTTTACCTAGTTATTATCATTACAGAAATTTATCTGTGAGAACAATGAGGAATATATTTGTCCTTTGTACAGCCTTAACAATAGCAGGTTGAAGTAAGGTAATTTAGACATGTCTGTTCAACTTTTCATAGCATGTTAACCAGGACCAACTGATTAACCTTTGCTTTGGTTAAGCCATAGCAGATAATTAGACATGACAGGTTACACCTGATACTGATTTATGCAAAAGACCTGGGCCAGATTAAGGCCAAGTGAGCCGCTCACCAGTCTACTCTACAGATGTTTATGAGTTTGTGTGTTAGAAACTTTCTGCTGAACTGTACCTATAGGAATTACATGAGCATGTATCTACAATAAATATCATGTCAAGACATTTACAAGCAGGGTTACACTGGGTACCTGCCCACCTACTCACCTGGGTAGGATTTGCAACCTTAAAACCCAGGGTTTTTTTAATAAAGCCATGGAGCAAAAGTGGGTTTTAAAGAAAACTTAGGAATGCATCAAATTGATTTTTTAATTTTGAAATTTGGAGTGTAATAATACTGGATAGAAACTACCAAGGAAATATATATTAGGCTTCTTTAATAAATAGTCATCCATATAAGTATAGTGCATACCCATAGAAAAACCCACATTGATTAGAATTCTAAAATATAACAATAACAAATTTTTGTTTACATGTTTGCTAGGGAAATATACTTCAGATTTTTTTAACCATTTAATATCAGCCCTACCTGAACTGTTGGTTCAATGTCAATTTCAACATTGGTATTGATTTAATTTACAAACTGTATTTTCTAAATGTGGAATTGAAAAAAAAACATATAATAAATTATTTATTTCATGATATTTACATACACTATTCTCAGACTATCTATAACTCAATGTTTGATATTCTTTGTGCTATCAAACTCCATAAAACAAGCTTTAAAAAAAAGATAGAAACAACTAGCAATACAATCCTGTTACTTTTTGAGCATTTAAGAAAAGTTCTAGAAGTCTCAAGGTTAGGCACCCAAGCAAAAACTGAACATTGGTTATTGAAGAGCCGTGCACTACTGAGTTTTGAGAAACAAGACAACAGCTAAGAACTTGTACTGGATTAATTGATTCAATACATATTTTTACCATTGATTTGTAGTCTCTGACAAAGATATGTCACGTTTTTAAATAGTGTTACATCATGTTGATGATGCATCACAAACTTACTGTTTGAAGAATGGACAATTATTTAATTTGAAGGTATGGCAAATGTAATAATAGAGGTTGATATTTTCCATCATCAAATTTTTTATAATCAACATAAATAAAAATAACTTTGAAGAGGGGTATAAATGAAATAAAAGAAAAAAGTACTAATAACTATTTTACCCATTTTGCATGAGTTTTTAAAATAAAATCATGGGCTTTTCAATAAATTCTGGATGGGTTGAGCAATTTTGAAAACCATGGGTTATTTGCAACCCTGTTAGCAAGGATGAGGCATAGAGAAATTACAAATAGATGAAACATTTCTTCTATCTGAGTCATCTTGCTCTCAACATTATTGGTTTTGAACTTCTTGGGAGAGATGATTTTTGCAATTGTGAATTATTGATTTAGTTTCATGCAGGTAGCAGGCATTTACAATAGTAGAAGTCTCAAATTTAGGTGTAAATGTATAAGTGCTAAGTCCAATTCTTCAAAGGTTACTAATATATAAAATACCTTTATAAATACTATATCTAAAATCTCTTACTGTTGACCTTGGTCATCCATTCTTGTTTCTGTCATGAAGTTTATGTAGGAAGCCTCAACAACCAGTTGATCTTGATTGTTGTGACTAAACTTGTTTTTGCTACTAGAGAGTGCCTAGGCATTATCAATATTCAGTGTGGGATGGTTTGAATAACCCATTCTTCCATAACTCAAAGACTTTGGCTACTGGGCTTCACCAAGCTTAGAGGTGAATTGGTAATTGGTCATTTGTGCTCTGGCTATGTGTGATCCAGACAAACAAGTGTGTCTAATTCAGAACACAGGTCTGCTAATAACCATTATTTATATCAACTTATGATATTTTCGTTTTGTTCTGTAAAATGTTAGTGTTTGCCCCTCTGTCATTCCTTCCTGACTATGACTTCATATTATATTCAGTGATAGTTTAGTTGAAGTTACAAGTTGGCTACAGTCTCGCATACTGTGCAAGCTTAGCAGGAAGTCCTACATGTTTTGAGACCATGTTGAACAGAAAAAATACATTGAGCTTTGTAAAATTGGATTAATAACGCATGGATTGAATGAAAAAACAGCTATTATAGTTTGTGGCACTACTCATAATTTTTTTTTTTTTTTTTGCAGAGAGTCATAGCCTCACTGTTGAGTCATGGGCGTGACATCACTCGCAACCTCTGCACACCTGATCAAGAGGGCTACTCTGCTCTTCATCATGCTGTTTTGCAGAAAGATCCTGCAATGGTGAAGAAACTTCTCATGCATGATGCAGGTAATTGAGCTATAATTAATGATGTCTTGGGATTATTTTATTTCTTCATGAAGTCAATTTTTAGTCAATTATTGGATAACCAATTCTTTGGTTGAAATTCCCAATTTCAAAAAGAAAATATACAGCTTATTGTATAGCTGCTTACCTATTTGCTCTGTAGTTGGTGGTTAATGATGTTACCCTTTCTGCGAAATTGCTTATGCCACCCATAACTACTTTAGATCAAATTTAAAAAATTCTGCTTCAGTCATAAATTCTTTTCCAGTAATATTAAAGCTGCTAGAATCACATATTGGATTTTTCATTATGAATTATAAATATAACTGTCAGTGCTACTCTTTCAGAGAAGAATTTCTAAGTTAATTATTTCAAGTCCAATTTACTAAAAATTGAACTTGCGAATTTAAATTTATCCTTCTAACTGGGACTTGCATTACCATTTGCTTGTTTGTGCTATTTTGCAGCTGTTCTTCAGTGATTCTACTTCTGTTCTAAACCTTCTGGGCGATATGTATTCTGCAGCATACTTTAGCTCCTTGGAATGCTCATGGGATTTTCATTCTAGTAACATTGTTCCTGACCTGGTGGCAACATTGTCCTGCCACCACTGAGCTCTTAGTAGTGGCTTTGTGCTTTCTCAACCGAGTGCAAGTTACAGATGAGGAGGTCAAGTTGTTTGCAGTTGGGAGTTCCTCGCACTTTCTTTCAATGTCTTTCTTGGGTTGAAGTTTTATGTACATGTGGGGTATCAACCAATGCATTAAATATTAACAGGATAAACAACCCCATGTAGAGGTGGAAATACCTAGTTCTGTTACTGTTTCATTCCTTCTTGGTTAGGCAATTCTTAGAAATTCTAATGCTTTTATTCACTGCCCATCAAATTTTGATGTAGATATTGATGAATAATTTTTTTCTTCTGTTGTTAGTCATTATTGTGTAATTTTCATTGCAGATAGAAGGTGCATAAACATGGAGAGTCATGATCGAGATCGATCCACTGCTCTGCTGCTTCTCTGTAAAAACTGCACAGCCTCACACCTGGAGGTGACTAGGATGGGTCGTGGAATGTTTCTCTTTCTTATGCTTTTAATTTGGCCTGGACCAAATTAAAAACTAAACATGGACCAGACCAAACTCTGAAGATGATTTTCATGTGCATGATCATGATTATAAGAAGTAAAGATTTGCTGATTTTTTATAAATACTTTGTATTGTGGAACAGTCTGCATAAAAGTATTCACACTTGTAGGGTACTATAGTCAGGTCACTGCAGCATCTCTATGATGTCCAAAACTTTATCTAAAACTGCTTATTTTTGTTGACTCCTAATTTTGTTGTTGTTGCTGAATTCTATTTTTCTGCATAAGAAGTAAAATAAAAGTTTCAATTAAATTTCTACACGTTCAGGAAGAAATATTGGCGAGCCTTCTACATGCTGGGGCAAATCCCAACTTGCCTGAAAGAGATCCATTTTCCCTGCCCTTATTGTGCGGTATGTCACCTTAATAATTGCTCCAGCTTTAGTTAGGAAAACATTTGAGGAATTTTTATCAATATATTATATACAATCTAAATAAGAAATTCTTGAAGATTTTAGCAATGCAAGAACCATGCTAAAATCTGCCTAATGGTCAGATTTTTGAGAACAAAATTTGGTAGATGAGTCTCATCTTGAAGAGTCTACTTATTTCTTTTACTTGAACAGTGCTTAAATTTTTTATAAAAAATCATTTTTTAGGACAAATAAGAACTTTGCGCCTTTACAGTGAAAACAGCACATTATTAGATGCAAATTTTCCAGTCTTGGAGAAACGCTGGTGGCGAGGAGCTGAGCTAATGCTGGACGCAGGGGCGGACGCCACAGCCACGGATTCTGCTCACTATAGGTTTCCAGCCACACGCTATGCTCGGGTATGCGCAGCCTTTGATTCAGTGAAATATTTACGTCCCAATTTGCGGTTGCGTAATAAACTTTCCACATTATTACAAAAATTTTAGTGCACCCATATATGAGTATGAAGAATGTTCATTCTGTGTTGTAGATTTTGTTATGAAAAGTTGCTACTTACTTCCCTGTTTGCGTTTGACCTGTCACAGCACTCAATGATCATTACTTCTATATCAAATTCTCAATTAATTGCCTATATTTCTTTTGTTGTCCGGTTTTCCTTAAAATCCTTTTGTCTAAGATTTGTATCTGTGATTTTAATTCAGATGCTAAGGACATACTGTCAACTTTGTTGTGAGCTTAGTTGAGCTTAAGCATTTTATTTTGAATATTTATGTATTTTCAGGATAATGTCGAAATACTGAGGAACCTTTTGAGCAAAGGATGTTTGTGCCCTTCCCTCAACAATTGGATAGTTGAAAGAAAACTAACAGACGCCCAGTTGGCGACCATATTGCCGCCGTACATATTGTTTCACCCTGAGAGTAATGTGTGAGTACTATAGCTGCATTAGACCTAACAAAACCAGCTTATGTGAATATTTTGAATTACTCTATACCTTAAGTATTTGGATTTGCGAGTAATAAGTCCATATTTTGAATGAAATAAATTCTTCATTAATCAAATGCAATGTAAGATTCGGTTTTCTGTAACTGGTTCTATTTCTGGTACCTAGGCTGAATGTTCTGCTTGCTGCTGCCTCGGCATTGTACCACGAGAGCGCTCTGTACATTCTGGAGCATTACATGTTTGACAGGATGGATACATTTGAGCAAATAATCTGCGATATCTTTAAACTTAATAATGGAATCAACTGGGCAGACAAGAAAAAGTAAGAGTTGTTAAATAGATCCTGCATCTACTTAATGCAAAGTTTCCTTGTTGGCATTTTCTGTGTTTGCATAAAGAGAATTAACTTTTCTACAATTAATTTGTTGAGAAATTCTGCATTTAGAATTAATTCATAGATACTCGTTGCTTTCAAGGCATGGTATTCCTTTGATAGTTAAAGCAAGATGATTATTAGACTCCAGTCATGCTTGTAATTTCTACAAATGCTGAACTTTGAGTGGAAAATCTAAAATTGTCATCAGGTACCTAATGGAAGTTGATTCCTGGCAAAATATTGCTAAAGCATTACTGATCCGGTGGTTGTTGTCTCAGAAGGATTTGAGTTCTAATCCTCTTCATCATTGATTTATTTAATTTATGCGTCCACAAAATATTTTTCTCTTCAGGTACATAACTGCCTTGACGAAGAACAGCTTCAGTAGTGAATTGAACAAGAATGACCTGCTGATAATGCTTTTCCTGACTTGCGCCAGGTCAGTTCCTGCAAAAGTTACATTTGTTTATTCAATACTGAAATTTATGATGAAATTTATTACGGTCATATATCTTTCTTAACATTACTATTGATTTTAACTGAAATAATTTTGAAGCTAGTTACTTGTCTTTCACTTCGGCCTAGATTGTTGAAGCTGGTGCAAGCTGGAAGAATAGTTGAATTTATCTTGCTCTTAGGTCCTGCCCTAAATATGAAGACAAAGAAGAGTGTTGCGGCTTGTGCGACATCAATGTCGAACAAATCTGGATCAATCTAGAACATATTCTTAGACTAGCCGAGCACAATGGTCTACCCATCGAAAAGTGGAAGCTAAGCAAGGAACTGATCGAAAATCCCTTTTTTGAAACAGTACGGGCAGAATGGACGTATGATGAGTAAGTAAGCAAGTTCATTTGCCGGCATTAGCATGATAGCATTATCTACAATTATTTATTAATTGAACCTGTAGCTATCAATTATTTATTATTAGAATAAGCTCTTGAAAAATTGCTCAATAGATCTACTCGTTGGTTTGAATAAGTACTCAAAAATGGGGAAATTAATTGTGAACAAGATCCAACTATGACAGAGGATTCAAATGAACACAAATTAGTAATAAATTTGATGAATGTCGATATTTTATTTAGACAATTTAACACTTTGGCTGAGACTCTCAAAGTATACTGTTAAGCTGGGATGCGGCTTGTTCGAACTTGAATAATTTTAGTTAAAGACATGATAGTGACATGGAAGATGGTGCGCCGTTCTTGTCTCGGTGAGTGTACGCCGTTCTTGTCTCGGTGAGTGTACGCCGTTCTTGTCTCGGTGAGTGTACTCCGTTCTTGTCTCGGTGAGTGTACGCCGTTCTTGTCTCGGTGAGTGTACTCCGTTCTTGTCTCGACGAGTGTACTCCGTTCTTGTCTCGGTGAGTGTACTCCGTTCTTGTCTCGGTGAGTGTACTCCGTTCTTGTCTCGATGAGTGTACGCCGTTCTTGTCTCGGCGAGTGTACGAGATTCAGAAAAAAATCGTGAGCATCTATTGGTACACGTCGCCTGGAACGGTAACTGATATCTTTCTGGGCATCGTGCGCTGTAAGTGGTGCACGACATTTATTATAAGACGGCAATTAAAATATGATCAGTTAAAATATACGATCAGTTCTATAGTAAAAAAAATATAGTCAATCTATCTATAGATACATAAATACAAATTATTGGATGCTTCGACTTGTAGGAGATAATTGTGGAAAGCAGATGCATGTTAGTGGCCAGTAGCCGTTCTAGTCCGATGATCACCTGAATCGTTTGAAATATCGTAAATCTGATGATTCTAATGATACGTCTGTAAGAATTCGAATATTACTGCAGGTCTTGTCTTCTGGGGGAGAGACGCCCCATTGAAAAAAAGTTCCATATTCTAGAAATATTGTTGTGCTACTTATTATGTATGTATTTTCTTAATATTTAAACATATTGTGCAGTAAGGGCACGGAAAAAGATGTTAACGTCCTCAACCTTGTGCTGCTCCAGACGACTTTATGTTCGGTTCGCCTCGTCTTGAAGCTCCTGCTACTGATGAAACAGAAAGGTGAGTGTTGTACTAGGGGTGTAGCACAGGCTTGATTTTCACTGCTTCAATTTTCTGGCGTATACTGTCTTTTGACAGGGAATAAATAATGAATATCATCGGCTGATAAAAACAAGACTACATGTAAGGTATGTTGTCAACATTATTCTCGAGACGAATTTAAAAGCAGAATAAGCGTCAAGTAAATTGACCATATGTTCATGAGAACGTTCGAGAGACCAGCATCAGAAGTTAAAAAAAAAACTTGGAGAATATTCGCACAATTAACAATGAAAATCCAAAAATGCGCGAAAAAGATCAAAACTTTAGTGACGAGAAATCGAGAAAGCAACATGGAAACCTATCGACTTACATTTTCAAAAGGGATTGGAACTGTACGCGTTGTTGAGTCTAGGCGCGTTCTTGAGTCAAGGCCCAGATTCTGTCTAACCTGGTCTATTAATAAAGTTATGTGCTCTGCGCATCAGCATACGTCGAAATAACATCGTCTACACACGTGTTTCTGAGCATCGCGGTAGGAGCTTTCGCTCGAACATATCGTTTTCCAGGCCTTCTCACTTGGCTGTGCGTTTCTATGCTGAACAGTGCGACGTGATTGTGTCTGAGAGCCATTTAGAGATACTCGGTGCCACTTGTGGCCGAACCAAGGATTTTAGAACCACTGCACATTTTTGAAACGAAAACATTGTCTTAATATCGCGTATAGTGTAATTCTTATTCTCTTGATATTGTAACTCGATAAGTCTTCTATCGTTTTCTCGTCACTTGGGTATTTTTCGTGCATATTTGGATTTTTGCTGTTTACGAAATGTTTTCAGTAATATTTGGTGACTTTACTTAGCGATTACTCTTGGTTAACTTGCAATTTCAGCTGACTGATGACATGAGTACTTATATGCGCTCAAAAACTCTGGATACATGTACGTATTGACACTTTCCAGGTTTCCGGCTGACAGTGTCATCTGCGGCAGCATTCTTATCTAGTCCATGCACATGTCGCCCAATCCATCAAAATACTGACATTAATTTCCAAGCTATTGTGCACCCGGAGTCACCGTATCGAATTCTGTTATCAGAGCTGATCAGGAACTGCTGTGAAGAGGGGCAGTGCTGGTTCAGGTGGGTTCGTTTAGATGAAAGTGTCTACCATGCAATACGTAAATCATTCGAAGCAAGGTAGCTTCACAGCTGATGCATATGTACACATCTACATTGCTAGTATATATATATGATACTCTTCTCAATCAGGTTTTAGCCCGATTTTTAGCTCCGAGCGTCATTACATTATTTTCATTTGTGTGCCTCAGGTCGCCCAGGATGATGGATTTGTGTAGGAGCGGCATTAGAGCAAGACATCATTTCCGTGTGCTTATGCTGCTCCATCTCGGCGTACACGAATTATTCCTGTCCAAGCACGAATTATACCAGTAAGTGTCTCAGCCAATTACTGATGTACAATTATGTTGCTTGTTGGATTAATAATAATATAACCAATGAGTTCAAAATTTCTATGATGTTTAAAGTTACTTCTTCTGTCTTCTGGAACAGCGAGACACAAATTGCATGGCCGCATACTGAAAGTGAGCGGCTCATGAGCTCCATTGTTCATCGTTATGCTCCGAGATGGAAGCTTCGGACTCCTCCGCCTGGGTCTCTAGGCCACGACGAAATGAGATGGTTAAGATATCACTATCGTCCAGAAGAAGAAGTGGCATTCTTAAATCAAATGTTGTCACTCTTAAATCAAATGGGTACGTTTAAATCAAAGAGCGAGGCAGTTTACTTAGGGTTAATGGACCTCCTTCTGAACTTCACTCAATGAAAGGATTTACTAAAACTTCGGCGTACCCAATTTGTACATAAATTGGAGTTCCCAATTTAGGAGGCTGAATTATGGTATCTTTTAAATTATTTATCCCCGTCTCTATTTATTAATTAGTGCCTTAAGGAGTAATTGATTCACGTGATTAAAAGTTGATCACCTATTACAGTGGCTAGACTGGATACATCTGATGTGTTGGCAGTCGGCGATTAAATGAATGCATATACTTACATGCTTATAAATAATGATATTATAATGTTATAATATTATAATTATTTAATAAAGGTCTATTAGCTTAGTATTAATGAACATTGAATTTTGTTGGTGTGTAGCGCCGCTGCGGTCGCTGAAGGAGCTGTGTCGCCTCTCCATCCGCGCCTCCCTTGGCCACTGCAGGATTGAAGAGAAGACGGAAGGCTTGCGAAACGAGTTGCCAGCTTCTCTTAGAGAATACCTTTACTTCCGGGACCGTTGAAATGGTGCATTTCAAGTGGTGATGATTCACTGATACAGCGTTGAACCCAAAATTCAGTACTAAACGTATCAAAATTTTATTTTGACTTATAATTGAACATTCAAGTGAATAAAACGAAACGGAGTCTTATCTATCGTCAACGAAACCCCAAAAGACAATAACGATAACATTCCCAAATCACAACAGTATTTGGTTTGGTATCTTTAATAGGAATTTTTTGATTTAGTTACTTCAACGACACAAATTTTTCATTAAAACTTCGGAAGATGTTTTTTACGGCTACGCTGATGCGACTACGTCGTCAACTGCCTGAGGCACGTGTGTGCTACTGAGGCCCAGAAGCAATAGAACTAACGCTCATCTGGCCTCAGTTGGGGGAGCTGATGCGAGATTATTTTGGTGACAATAGTGGGACAGAGGCGGACGTCCAGGGATTGTGCTCAAAGATACGTTAAGGATTCCTTGTCAGACGGATGTGTGATTTAGACTGTTGTGGTGGTGGTATTGACGCCAAGTGATGTCTTATTCTGGCCTTTTTCAAGATTGTATTAAGCTTTCCATTTCATATATTTTTCAGGTTTTTTTTCTTGTAATTTGTTGTAAACAGCGCAACAAATTGTGTGTGTTCCTGCATTTTTTCTTGTCCAAATTTTAAGTTTTTTCATCTCTGGAAATCGCGCTGCTGTTGTTCAATAATGTCACATTATTGATGGTATTTCTGTTGCCATTAATAATATAGAAAGGAATAACCTCTACGACATATTATAGGCATGTTCGCATTGTTTAGCAGACAAGTTCTGTTAAAGAGAGCTTCCAGTGTTTTGCCCTGGCGCTCTGAGCAGCTGCCGTTAACGCAACACACTCGAGCTTCCTAAACAAAGCATTGATCCTGCCAGAAAAGAAGGGAAGATAAAACAACAGGAATGGTTGAAAGTACGAGGTTCCGTTTAGTACTTAGCACAGATTGTCATGCATCTAGAAGGATTTTGGAAAACCTGCTCAAAAATGAATTATAATTAAGCTTCTTATCACTCTTACAATTAAGAGGACTCTTGTCACGTCCCAGAAGCTAACCAAGTTGACAAATTCAGACCACAATAATAATATAGAATATTTTATTGCATGAACACGAGCATCTCTAAGAATAAGTGGTTACAAATACTTAATAGATATTTCCGTACAGCTTGAAAAACGTCAATTCTTTCAACTGGACATAACTTACCTTGGCGGATATTACAGGTTTGAGGTATATCAGATACAAGAAACTTACTCTTACGCATAGGAGTAAGGAGGGCGTTATTTACTGTAGTTTTTGGTACTTCGACTTTCTTCGCTCCCTAGTTCAATACGGTTATTGGACCAAAGAAAAATAATTGATAATATTATAAATTATAATAAATATAATTTACTCCACCATATTTGTGCAATCAATTATTGAAATTGTTCAAATGTCCATTATCAAAGTGACCAAAATAAAAAATTCATTAACACTTGATAGTTAGATTGGCAAGTCAATATACATTAAAATATTCCGCTCTCGGAGTAATTATGTTAGACCGGGAGCTTTGTGACGCACGATTTAATAAGGGGGTAATAAGTCTGCAGACTTGATCCTTGTTTCCTTATATTTCGGCGTCGAAACCTGCACGTACAGGATTCTATAAGAGTGTGAACATACAAGAAACCGAGATCATATAATGATAATTAGAGTTTAATGAACGCAGTTCTAGAAGAGAACTGCTTTAAATCGAAAATACGAAGCACCATGATCATCTAGGATGATAATTAGTTTTATGAACACAGTTCCAGAAAGGAGCTGCCTAGGTTACTGGCCTAGTTTTCCAAACTGGCTGACCACGGTAATTAACATGACACAGGGTAAATTCGTAGGTTCTTCAACTTACGGTCTTTGAGGCTCTAGAAAGACGAACGTGGACTTCAATTCTTCAATGCTATTTCTAACAAATAGCTTTTTATACTACTAGCAATACCGTACGATACCTGCAAATATGGAATAAAGTATTTAGACTGGAACTATAAACCATTTAACTTCACAGCACAGCAGCTTTTCTGACAATCCCATTCATTCTCAAATCAACGATATTTCCATACAACCAAGGCACACTTGACACGCATTAGCTTAAAAAAGAAGCCGAATCAATTTGCAATGATTAAATGTCAGATCATCTGTAGCACAAGCCATTACAAAGCATTCTCCACAAGATTTCTATTTTTTAGGGCAGAACAGAAACTACTAGATCTAGCTCACGACAATTATCGCCTTGAGATGACGCTGTATTGGTTGATTTAATAAGGTAATTCAAATCAAACCCTAATGTATTGAACAAATAATTCAAATATAACGGACATTCTGTGATATGCCGCTGGCTTAGAGGCGCCCATCTTGACTAAGTGACGTACAACTTCACACAACGGCTTCAGGAATAAAAAGTAATCACTGATATTCTCACAAACAGTTTCTGCTCGTTCATAAAATCTCAATCACCCAGAAAATACACATATTTCACATTTAACACATAGAAACACATAAATAAATTTGGCACAGCTTCCCTCGTTGCCGTTCCAAACTTCAACTGCGCGCGCATAGACTGCGTGGGTGCTGCCGGACTTGAATTTTCCGGAATTAGCAGACAAGTCGATAATTTGCATACTACGATACACATTTAACATTATATTTACTATACAGTTTAAAGTTACTATCTCGAGCTCCTCGGTCAACGATATATTGATACTGTTTTTACACGTTGAAATGAACGTGACATAAAACGCTTTTCATGGCTGACAGCAGCGAAGGTGCCACTAAAAGGTCGAAATTTATAATTTTGTTCTTTAAAGTTATAAGTACCAAAAATTCAACGCTACGCTACTTGGTTTCAACGCTACGCAATACCAAGTATCCAAGTGACTTCGACCTTGACAGTTATCAGAGATTAACAGAAAATATTCAGGTCATAAATTTACACGTGAAGATAGTTGAACAGCTGTAAATACTTCCCACAAGTAAATTGCTTCTGAAAGCAAGTAAATGGTAACCCCTAAAATTTTGCTTTACTCATTCGATCTTCCGAATAATAGTCAAAGGATGAATAATCAAAATTCCTGGAATAAGTAAATGGAATTAATTAGAACGCATTCACTAGTTGTATCAAAATTAAAACTCAAATCTGGCAGCAGTTTATGGAAGGTAAGATTCATTAAGACGACAAAACGGTCACTGTCCAACCCTGACGCTTTATGAGCGTCTAGCAGATGTAGATTGAGATACGCGAAGCCATAAGGTTATAGTATAGAATAGAATAGAAGTGTCGGCGTTGAAGACATAGGCCCATGGCCTGTTGCCGATTCTTGAACTTTTCGTGACTTGATTCACAAGGGATCCGGCCTTTGGAACCCGATCTTTCCATAACTGACGATTGATTGAGATAGCTGTTTCATAATCTTTAATCTTTCCTCATAGGACTTGCCTTTCAAGCCCGGAACTATCCTTGTTGCGCGTCTTTGAACACTCTCTACTAAATTTTTGTCTAAATTACTAAATTTAATCTTAATAATTGTATAACGGACATGAGATTATCGAAGGTGGCCTCATCGACGAGCGCCTCGGTGAAGTGACGTTGTTGCACGCGACGTCGCCCTCAGTTGACGTCGTCTCGCTCTGAGCGCCCCACTTCTGCAGCTCAGCCTCGGTGGGTAAGGCAAATATCTTGGCCATGAAGTTGTAGGCGTGGCGGCTGTGGCGGTACAGTCCCAGGCTTATGTTATGCGACGCGACCAGCGCCGCAGGCCTGGCGACAGCGACGAGTTCACCGCCTGCGCCTCAATGAAGCTCAGCTGGTGCGGTAGAACGTACTTCCCGATCTAAAGGAGAACGAGTCATTCCTTACATTCAATATTAATAAAGGCGCCATCGTCTTACTAAGATAAATAATGCAATTTGAAAATCTGTCAGGCCTTCTTAAATGCCAACTTAGATAAAATATTTACCACGAAGTCTTACTAATACAAGGTCCCAGCATATTATCAACGTAAATCACTATTTTATTTTTATTGACTTTATCAGCTCAAGCGTATATAAAAATATATAAATCAAGATGAACTACTAATAAAAGTCTGTGACAAACTATACGCAAATTTAGTATAGTTTAGCGTTCCCTAGTTCATAAATCATCCACATATTTGTCAGAGTTTGTGAGTGTGTCTGGCACCTTGAGTTTCATGATTCATTGTCAAAGACGAATTGCATAATTTAAATAATTTTCAAAGCTAAGTAAACACAATCGCAAGCTCGGCTGCTCATCACGGCTGAGTATAATTTGAGAAGATCCAGAAAGCGAAATCATTAACTTGAAAGCTGTTAAATCAAAGCTTAAGGTTGAAGTTCGGCCAAAAAATTAATTTTCAGATTTTTTAGGCTGTTCCGAGCAATTTTGCCTTAACTAGCAACAACTTTGCCATATGGTTGACAATTTTTATACACGCCTTAACGTGCCATGCATAGATCCCGATAAAGTTAAAATGTCAATAAAGATGGGACTTGGGTTTAGCAAAATTGTATAATTTTCGTTCACTTTTGTGTTAACTCTGTAGATCTGAATTTTACGTTACAATTAAACATCACTACAACAGAAACAAAACAGTATAGCATTTCATCTACTTTCATCAAGTAATCTTGTGAAATTTGAAATTATTGGAGTTTACAAGCAGTGTCTCAAAAATGTTTCAAGGGCAAGATTACACGTATGATGGAACGAAAAACACTGAATTTTCGGAAATTGTACGAAATAACAATATTGCCAAGTATAACATCATCTATTAAAATTAAACTTAGGGAGCGCAGCCGTGGGTAACAAAACTGACTCGTAAACAGGCCCTGGGCCCAACGCCAACCATCAGCATGCAATATCAACACATAGCCTCAGATCATTGAGCTGTGGGTAACTCCTGCTAACAGTAAATCCGCTTTGCACAACACAGCCACTGCTTCACAGAGTCGGAGCACAACTGGCCGGAGCGCAACAGGCCCTACCGCAACAGAGGCGCAGGTTAGGTTAGGTTACGTTAGGAGTAGACTGTTGCGGTAGGGCCTGTTGCGCTCCGGCCAGTTAGAATAGAATAGAAGTGTCGGCGTTGAAGAAATAGGCCCATGGCCTGTTGCTGATTCTTGAACTTTTCGTGATTTGATTCGCAAGGGATCCGGCCTTTGGAACCCGATCTTTCCATAGCTGACGAAAGGCTGAGTGGCGATTGATTGAGATAGCTGCTGGACTTATTGCCTGGTCCGTAATTTGCTAGGCATTTTAAGACTGAACATATGCTCCAGCATAGCTTCGTCTGGACTTATTGCCTGGTCCGTAATTTGCTAGGCATTTTAAGACTGAACATATGCTCCAGCATAGCTTCGTCTAGTCAGTTTTTGAAGATGTTCATACTCGGAGCGTCAACGATGCTATCAGGGAGGCTGTTCCACATGTCGGTGACTCGAAGCGAGAAGAAATGTTGTCGCATGGATGTGTTCCAACGCTGTTTTTTAGTTTATAGCCGTGGACCCTGGTGTTGGTTCTTGTTTCAAATTCTAGTAATCCTTCTGGGACCTTGTATAAGTCATGA